TTTTGTTAAATGTGAGCCAAAATCATCACAATTAAAAGAACCAAAGACTTAAACTACTTCAGTCTGTGCGCATTGAATTTATTTAATACACGAGTTTCACAATTTGAGTTGAATTACTGAAATAAATGAACTTTTCCATGACATTCTAATTTATTGAGATGCACCTGTACATATTCTCTGGGTTAAATATTTGTTAATCATTCAGTTTTCACTATGAGGATGCAGGAATATTGAATTAAATAAAACATCTAAAAATGATTAGCACATGTAAAGTGATAGTTCACCCAACAATAAAAAATTATGTCATCATTTAGGCCTCATTTACACTGCAGGTCTTGATGCCCAATTCTGATTTGTTGCCTATATCCGATTTTTTTGGCTGTCCGTTTACACGTTCTTTCAATTGTGACCCATATCGGATTCACGTGTTTACACTTACCATACCATCTGAAACATCGCACAAGCGTTGTTGTCATTTACCGCGTCAACATGTGCTTCCTCCTGAGAATAATGTAACCTGTGCTGACAAAACGAGTCACAATGAGCAATAAAAAAAAAAGACATTCTCCATTAAAAGACCTTCACAGTGATTTATGATTTGTTGGAATCGGACAAAAAATTACTGAGCTACACCCGTTTGAAATCGCTAGAGTGAATTCATCCGTCTTTTCTTATTATTAATTACTATATTAATAATCACAATACAGCTATTTTTATACACATAGGCTATGACTGAGGCCTGAAACCGATCTCGAAATATCCGAATACATGCGTTTTTTTTCCTGTTTACACTGTCATAGAACAGAATTGCAGAATTATTTTCATTTTAAAGTGAACTATCCCTTTAAGATTGTAGGTATGGAGTTATCAGGGGCATTTTGTCCAAAGAGGCAGTGCATACACCAACATGTAGACAAATATATAAAACAATGGAAGGTTGTGCCTCAACAGACAGCTTTATACTTCTTTTCTCACCCCTTTCTTTCACTGACATAAGATGATACTTCCACCACCAAATGACCAAGGAGAGATGCGCTTGTGCTCACACACACACAAGATAAGGAACGCATTATCTATCAGTTGACCACTCAGTGGGGTACTTAAAGGTCATCTCTTTCAAAGGATGATGCGACTTGATCTCTCTATCCATCTCTGTTTCTCTTGGCTCCACCCCCTCCTATCTTCCTTCTAATACACACATGCACTTAGTTACACAAAAACACACCAATACACAAACATAATTTTGAATCAGGAATTCAATTGGCCTCTTCTGGAGAAGCTGATCATCGATATTTCTAATCCTTGGTTTGAGTGTCTCCATTGTTCTCTTCATTTTTCCTCAGACTCCCATTTTGTTCTTTTAATGCAGCAGAAAAAATATTTGTTCCTGCAAAGACGTACGTGTAATGTCACTGCATTAATGTCATACCGTTTTTCTTGCATAACTCTGACATAATTGGCCATTTTGAATGAATAGATCACTAAAAATGACATAATGTGCATGGAATGAGTAAAGTGCAGGTGAGCAAATAATGACAGAATTTTAATTTAAAGGGACAGTTCACCCAACAATTACAATTTTGTATTCATTCACTTACCCATGATGTTGTTCTTAAATTGTATGATTTTCTTTCTTCTGTGGAACATAAAAGAAGATATTTTGAAGAATGTCTTTTTTTTTGTCGTCCATATAATTCCCCATCCCCCTGCCCACAAAAACACACTTTCCTTCCTTGCAACCTGTGCTATTGTTCTCATCCTCTTATTTTCTTACATTCGTTCTCATTATATTGACACATTTTACTTCCTCCTGCTCCTCTGCTAATTGCGACACAGATCGTCTGACTTGTAACAGAGGATTCATCTGGTTCATCCCCATGTCTTCAGATCAGATCACATCAAAAAACTGCTCTCCTGCGATGAGCCCCCAACTGAGCTGCAGCCCACAACTGGGTTTCTTTCTCTCCAGAGGCTCAGGGTAGCTGAGTCAGCTGCTCAGCCTTCAGCTATCACTGTAAGACCTCACACAATTTCCTCTGGACCAGTTGGTCTTCATGATGGAACCCAGAATGAGCACTGATGGGGTTTATATGCAGGCTTTGGGGGTTATCTCGATGTCAGAATCTACTTTGAAACTGTAGCTTCCAAAACTGCAAGCTACTCAGGATATAAAGCATTCAAACTACAGTCAAGCTACTTTTTAAAGTTTAAAAGTTTAAAAATGTTGTTAAAAGTAGTCCGCTAATCTACAAACTACTAACACAAAGGTCCTGTTTACACCTGGTATTAAAAGGTTACTCCAACCCAAAATTAAAATTTTGGCATTAATCACATGTCATTCCAAACCTGTAAAAGCTTTGTTCATCCTCGGAACACAATTTAAGATATTTTGGATGAAAACCGGGAGGCTTGTGACTGTCCCATTGACTGCCAAGTAATTAACACTGTCACGGCCCAGAAAAGTATGAAAGGCATCGTCAAAATAGTCCATCTGCCATCTGTGGTTCAATCTGAATTTAATGAAGTGACGAGAACACTTTTTGTGTGCAAAGAAAACAACTTTATTCAACTTTTTCTTCTCCTCTGTGACACTTCCTGCAAGCGCGTTCATGATTTAATGAGCAGCGCCTTCCGGGTTATCTGTCTGTATGCTGGCCTCTACATTAGCAGGTCACGGCGCATACATACAGACGAAACATGCCTCAGATCACGCACGACAGTGAGTGGTCACAAGTGGTCAGCGGAGATACACTTGACACTACTAGATACCGTGTATACCTGTGGCCAGTTATAGTTCACCCAAAAATTACAATTCTGTCATTAATTACTCACCCTCAT